GCCCCCGCCCTACTCCCGCCCGCATACGCCGGGCTAATGCATGCTATGACCGGTAGTAACGTGTACCTAACTATCATATGAGTGAACGATTTGAGTTACATTTCTATAAATTCTAGATGTTAATGCACACTGTATAGACACATGTCTTCAGCTTTAATGCTGCGCTGAATTTTTGAGCTATTGAAGCACGATAGTTTAATAATTAGGCAAATATCACATCGGTATCGGCTCATAGCGCTAATACACGTGGCGCATGACCGTGAACCGAAAGTCACGAAGTCTATTTTTTATCTCTCCAATCACAGTCGGAGCAATCCTCTGTTTAGACGCATGTGTAACACATGAGTGTCAGTATATCTGTCGTAGCTCTAGTACGATAGCTAGTATGTAAGTGTAGACTGCTCCATAGAACCGTACTTGCTAATCACTTTGTATTTATAACAAATCGTCGCACTGCTCGTCGTGCTATAGTAGCTGTGTGACGCCACGGCCCCGGCAACAGGCACCTGAAGTCATCACTTAGTTAGGCTTAATAGGGTCTAATGTCCCCCAGGTAGCTGGCGGAAAACGTACCTGGGTAGCCACTGGCGCCCACAGGCTTAAGAAAGTAGAAGCAGGCAGAAGGATAAAATCTCAGTGATAATAGAGAAAGGGCAGGCGCGCAGCATTCTAGGAGTCCATGGGCATGTTCCCCCTGAAAAAATTTTGATGTAGACGTCTGGAGATGTCAATCTGGAGAGTTCTTGCGAGAGATTTAGGAACAAAATGTAGAAACAAAATTTTTTAACCCAAAATTACTAGGAAAGGCACGGCTTCAGTGCTTCTCACTGCAGCGCCAACTGCTCGGTAAGGGTCCGGTATACCGGAACGTACCCTGGATAACTATCTGATAATGGTTAGGGTAGGGAGTAGGCGTAGCGACTCATAGACTCGATCGTTAGTGAGTAGGCGAGTAGCGGTCCGGCATATTAGATAGGTACAGGGTACGTTCCGCAGTACCGCTGGGGACATAGACCCTCCAGCTAGTTAGAAGCGTTTCAGATAATAAAATGATGGTAAATAACATGATATGTATTTACGTATGACCAATTAGCCTTAGTGAAGTACTACGTGTTCCTACTGCTCTTCACAGCTGATTATTGGTAAATGCTGTAACGTAAGTGCCGTTCAAATGACTTGCAATACAGCAATGTCACCACAATCAACAAGACACACGCACAATCAAAAGAACAACACGCACAATCAAAAAGAACAAGCACCACAAATCAACAAGAACAACAGCCAAAACAACGAAGAACAAACACCACAATCAACAAGAACAACACCACAAACAACCAAATTACAGCAAAAACAACAACAAAATGTTGTATATATATATATATTAACGAAGGAACACCAACAAGAAAATTAACAACAAAACTAATTTTGTTTGTGCACAGCTGCGTGCGTGCGGTGTACTTGTGTGTTGCAGAGGAGCATTTGAAGGGTATTACAGAAAACTATCAGTAATAATAGGCAAAAAGAGTAGAGAAACATTAAAGACTTTGGTAGTAAATACATTTTGTGTTTATTTACCATCATTTAATTATTGAAATGGTCCAAGTGCTGTGATCTCTATCATTATCATTTCAAATACATAATATTGTGCTGTAGACCCATTCCTTGATGTAGTCCAGATACGACCCTATAACCTTGTGTTTGCGTTCAATTCTATTTTATAACCCCGTACACACATGATTGTTTTTTTATGATTAGAGAATTAGACTTAGCCAGTTAGGGCATTTATGAGTGCCATATAAGTAGCTCTACATGTGTAGCCCTTTGCTCTGATGTACACAGTTTAGAGCTTCCAGATAAGATCTAGTTTTGTGTGTATATCTGTAGATAGAGACGTATAGCTTAAAAAATATAATTTGAAGCTAAACGTAGCGTGTAAAATGTTGGCAATGCAATTTCCATTCTGAGTGTGTGTTATCTGAAAACGCTAAAACTAAGAGTCATTTAAACGTGCCGGTGCTCTTTACAGAAAGATCAAAGTAAACTGGACGCAAACTGGAATGGCGGATATGAGAGGAGGAGCAGGCTCCTTGTTGGCATCAACTAAGCAGTTGCAAAGTGCAGCTAAACAAGGAGGAACTCCATCTCAGAATCAAAGGATTCTAAGCAAGCAGTTATGGCTCTAGTGAAGTTTGCACATGCACCAAATAGTAAAGCATATAAACATGTGTTTGTTATCGTGACACAACGCAGTGACATCATTATACCAGCATGGGGGAGTGGATAATGAGAGATGTGATCAGCTCTAGTTATCCGACTTCTGATTATAGTGGAGTGCTAATTTTCGAATTGCTAAAATTTTAAATCTGTAATCAATGTTTAGTGAGTGAAATGGTCTATAAAATATTCTATTGTTAATTTTTAATCTATTATACCATGACTCAGCAAGAGCGTGAAATGGAGGGATGGGTTCGGTCAGAGGCTTTTGGCCTCAGGGAGGTGAAATAAGCAGGATAGGACGTTGTGCAGCTCCTCCGGATCATGGGAGACCAGTGTAAGAAAATTCACATGCTAGGCCTATAGTAAAATCAAAACGGCTTGAGTAAAACTAAAAGGCACTAATATGTGTGTAACGTTAAATATATTAGGTCTTGAATGAAAAGGTTAAAGGTTATGAGGAAATAGTCCTCATCCGAGGGGAGGATGTTTCGCTGAGGGGCAAAAAGTTTGTTGTTGTTTTGTTTAATCAAGATTTAAAATCGTATTGTGGGAGATCTTTTAAGGCGATGGTTCTTTGTTTGTGTGAAGAAGAGCAACATAAGGTATAGTTTGTTTATAGAATAGCAGACAAGCCGGATATTTATAGGTTTGGCTGCGGTGGAAGTATTTAAGATTCAATAACAGGTTTAAACGGGGCGATTAGGTTAGGGGTTGTTTGTTGCACCAACACCATTGCGGGCTCAGTCACGGCGGCAGATACGACTTCGACCACGTGTATGTTCGAAGCCGATTGATGCAGCTGCTCTACTTGCGCTTTGTGTCTGCCAGTTCAAGTCACTGGGTGAATGAGCTCTCCAGTTTTCCACAAATTTGTACCGTTTGTGCTGTCTGAAGGACACCAGTAAGCGCTAGCATTGTGGCAGTAAATCTAGGTCTATAGTCCGGCCCAAGAAATGGAATGATATGGCGCGGTGAACCACGAAATTACAAAAGTTAAGCTCAAAATGATTGCTTCAAAATGTCCTTTATCAGTCTCAAATGTCTCAATACACAAATGGCAAGTACTATTATAACTACTACTACTAGTACTAGGAGCTATCCAGTACACGTGTTTACTTGTTGTGTTGTTACGTGTACACAGAGGCACTTCTTGCAGAGAGTCAGACCACATTCGCAGGTCCTGGGGTGGCGTTGTGCTTATTTCAGTTTTACGAACTATGTTAGAACTATGCAAGCCGTACGGATCGGTCTATAAATCAAGTATGAAACCGATTTATCAATTTTTTTAAATATATTTGTGATATTATTATAATTATATGACAAAACGGCTTCGATGCCTCAAATTACCACTTACAATGTATTGGGCGATTTTCCGGTGTAATGCGATTGTGGCGACATCTGCGGACTGATTGTGCAATAAAAACCGCCACGCGCTATGGTGTTTATATGTTATTATATGTTATTATATGCCATGTTTATTAATTCATTAATAAAAATGGTGGTAGATGGCGTTTTTATAGGAGGCATTTTATCTAGCATTTTAGAGATTCTATAATACTATATATATGAAAATGGCGGTAAATAATGGCAGCAAAAATAGTGCATTGGCGATTATATGATTTTGAAGAATTTTAGCTAAGCAGTTAAGGAATTTTACATAGGCCCAATGGTGAGTATTAGGTCGGTGATTCCGCATAGCCTTATATGTTATAGGGAACACTGCAGTGATTCCGCACCCACACAAACAATTTGTTAACCCCTACTTAGATGATATAAGTAAGAAAAAACTTTAGGTAATTGTGTGAAGCCAAGTAAGGTAGGTAAGGTATATATGTGTTACATTAGTAATAATAACTGTAATAATTATAATAATATGTAGTTCGTGGATGATGGTTAAAGTATTAATTCATATTCGATAAAAGATTAATTCAGAACCAATGAATGAAACAGCTGCTTATTAAAAGATTCCCGATTGGTTGATTGATAGGAGGTTCAGGATTAGTCGGCTGCTAGGAGGACCCTGATTGGTTGGCTGCGTTTAAGCTCCTGATTGGCCGGCTGTTAGGAGGCTCCTGATTGGTCAATTGCTAGGAGGCTCCTGATTGGTCGATTGTTAGGAAGCTCCTGATTGGCCGGCTGCTATGAGGCCCCTGATTGGTCGATTGTTAGGAGGACCATGATTGGCTGGCTGCTACAAGCCCCTTGATTGGCTGGCTTCTAGGAGGCTCCTGATTGCTCGATTGCTAGGAGGCTCCTGATTGGCTGGCTGCTACAAGCCCCCTGATTGGCTGGCTGCTACAAGGCCCCTGATTGGTCGATTGTTAAGATGCTCTTGATTGGCCGGCTGCAACAAGGTTCCTGATTGGTCGGCAATCAGGAGCCTCATAGCAGCCAACCAATCAGGGGCCTCCTAGCAGCCAACCAATCAGGGGCCTTATAGCAACCGACCAATCAGGGTCCTCCTTGCAACCGACCAGTCAGGAGCCTTGTTGCAGCCGACCAATCAGGAGCCTCGTAGCAGCTGGCCAATCAGGAGCCTTCTAGCAGCCGACCAATCAGGGGCCTCCTAGCAGCCTACCAATCAGGGGCCTCGTAGCAGCCAACCAATCAGGGGCCTTATAGCAACCGACCAATCAGGGTCCTCCTTGCAACCGACCAGTCAGGAGCCTTGTTGCAGCCGGCCAATCAGGAGCCTCGTAGCAGCCGGCCAATCAAGAGCCTCCTAGCAGCTGACCAATCAGGGGCTTCCTAGCAGCCGACCAATCAGGAGCCTCGTAGCAGCTGGCCAATCAGGAGCCTTCTAGCAGCCGACCAATCAGGGGCCTCCTAGCAGCCTACCAATCAGGAGCCTCGTAGCTGCCGACCAATTAGGAGCCTCCTAGCAGCCAACCAATCCGGGGCATCCTCGCAGCTGATCAATCAGGAGCCTCGTAGCAGCCGGCCAATCAGGAGCCTTGTAGCAGCCGACTAATCAGGGGCCTCGTAGCAGCCGATCAATCAGGGGCCTCATAGCAGCCAGCCAATCAGGAGCCTCGTAGCAGCCGGCCAATCAGGAGCCTCTTAGCAATCGACCAATCAGAAGCCTCGTAGAACAGGAGGCTCCTGATTGATTGGCTGCATGTGCATTTAAATAGGGTTAGGGTTAGGGTTAGGGCAGAGCATATAAATCAAATTAGTTGATTTATATGCTCTGGTTATAAAGGTTAGGGTCACAATGCAACATAAAACAGAAGTTTGAGGCACGTGATTTGTATCAACCAATGGCAGCGCTCACTAGAGCCCTATGTTCTTGATTATCCTAGGAAAAATAATCAAGCGGCCTGCCACACGCCACAGCCTTAGGCCACACCTAGCTACGCCTGCAACACATCGATCCTAGATGATTTTCTGAATTGACTGCGTATGTCCACCGCTTACTGGAATGCCAACATCTATTCCATATAGTCCAATAACCTAATAACCTTATATTGATTAGTCGTCAAAGCCCAATTAATTATGTCAAAGACGAGATATATATATATAACAAATAAAATCTATATTATATATATACTGTAATATATAATATAGATCATTGAGAGATCAACACGAGAGATCAATAGATAGATCAACACTGCGGATTGCAGTAGAATCATTATTCCCCAATAACAGCTAGGAATAATCACTTCAATGCTTCAAACTCAAAATTGCCGCCTTTCTGGCACAGACAGTATATACGAGTGAGTGTGCGAACTGACGAACATGCTTCAGCAGTAGGAGTGACTTTGTCCAGTTTGCTTAGGTTTAATAATATGCACATACATCAAGAGCTCATAACAGATCTCTATTATGAGCTCGATCTTGACATACATGTATATAAAATATGTGGCTAGATAACCATCCTAAATAACAGAGTGAATAAAAACAAATGTGTTTTAGGCCTATTTCACTCCTGATACTAACCGTAACTAACGGATCAGTTTGCGCACGTGTGTATCTATGGTATGGTATATCTATGATCTAACCAACCCATAATATCGTTTGTATCAGTACTGCAAATCAGTAGTGCCCTGGGGCCGGATTCATCAACGTTGCGTAAAGTGTATTGCGTACACCGAGTTTCTACGAAGTACGTACGCAAAGCTCGTAGGTGCGATTCATCAACGCAGCGTAGCACCTGCGTACGCAAATGTTGATGAATTCCAGTGTAAATCCACTACGCCATCGTGGCTGCTGGCTGTTGAGGCGCGTGCCTAGCATAAACCAATCACACTGTGCGACACATACCATAGGAACCAAACTGACGCCTCTCTTGTATTTAACCCATATGGCTCGTCTAGCTCTGTCTACATGTGTGTGTGTGTGGGGGGGGGATGTGATAGTGTCTTCATTTTCGTTTGTATGATTGCGTTCAACACTCATGAAAGCAGCGACACGTACACGTGCGTGCGTGTCGTTGCGTGCCGGTGCGGGTGCGTCGCGTGTCGCACGTGCACGTTGTCCGGTGTCGTCAGCGTTCGCGTGCGGTGCGTGCCATGTAGCACGTATGCGTGCGTCGGTGTGGTGCACGTCACCACGTGCGGGTGGGGCACGTACACGTGCGTGGTGGTGTGTAGTACACAGTGGCCAACCGTGCGTGCGTGTGTACGTACACGTGCGTTGCGTGCGTCTGTTACGTACACGTGCCGTGCGTGCGTGCGTGCGTGCGTGTCTGCGGCTTGCGTGTTCACGTACACGTGCGCGATGGGAGTGCGTTGTACGGACACGGCCCGTGCCGTGCGTGCGTTTTGCAGTCACGTGCTGTGTGTGACGGTACACGTGCAGTGGTGCCGTACGTGACATGTGCACGTGTGCGTGTGCCGTGCGTGGCTATGTTGCACGTCGTGCGTGCAGTACGCCTCCGTGTGTGTGCACGTACACGTGCTACCCCCGAGCAACGTCTCTGCCGCGACGTGCACGTGCGGTGCTGTGGTGCACGTCCGTCGCGTGGCGGGTTGTGCCACGCTACACTCGTGGCGTCGGCGTGCGGGTGCACGTAACACGTGCGTGCATGCTGCTACGTTACACGCGCCGTGCTGGGCATGCACGTACACGTGCAGCACGTGCCCCGCCGTACATGTGCACGTGCAGCTCGCGTGTGGTCGGTTGCGACGGTACAGCGTACGGTGCGTATCACTACCACTACTGTGCGTGTTGCACGTACACGTGTGGTTGCCGTCGCCGTGTGGTTCCCCGTACCACGGGGCGTGGGCCTGGCTCTGCCGGTGGTCTGGCGGATTGTGCACGTGGGCGGTGGGCGTGCGTGGCGTGTGCACGTACACGTGCGCGTGTGTACGTACACGTGCGTGCGTACCTGCGTCGGCGACGTACACGTTGCGTGCGTCGTGCGTGCGTGCGTTGTGTGCACGTCACGTGCGTGCGTGCGTGCTGGTTTGTACCGTACCACGCGGCGCGCGTGCGTTGCCGTGCGTGCACTACACCGTGCGTGCCGTGCGTGCATGTGCATGTGCTGTAGCGTGTCGCTGTGCACGTACCACGTACGTGCGCTGGCACGTACACGTGCCCGTGCCGTGGCGTGTGTCGTACACAAGCGTGACGTGCGCGTGTGCCACGCTAAACGTGCGTGTGTGATTGTGCACGTGTGCGTGCGTGCATGTGCACGTACACGTGCGTGCGTGCGTGTGCACGTACACGTGCGTGCGTGCGTGTGTACGTACACGTGCGTGCGTGCGTGTGTGCGTGCCTGTCACGTACACGTGCGTGCGTGTGTACGTACACGTGCGTGCGTGCGTATGCACGTACACGTGCGTGCGTGCGTGTGCACGTACATATGCGTGCGTGCATGCGTGTGTACGTACACGGGCGTGCGTGCGTGTGCACGTACACGTGCGTACGTGCTTGTGCACGTGTGCGTGCGTGCGTGCGTGTGCACGTACACGGCTAACTACGAACTCGCTTATAACGAAAACAATGCCAAGCTATGACAAAAGCAAGGACAAAAGAAGCGTCAAAGGCGCCGCCTGTCTGTGTAGTATGGTAATTATTTATTTATTTCTAGTTGAGTAGTAATTTTATAATGTTTTCTCAATAAAATAATGTATGCTGCGGTATGCTGGAAACACCTGCGGAAATTTCGAGTGGTTTACGGCACCTCGTCAGCTTGTGTAAAGTTACGCAAAGGTTTACGTAAATTTTAGCTTGATGAATCGTACCTAAATCGCCCTCGCTTGCGTACGCGAAATCGTGCGCAAATTTACTAAATAGCTGTGTTGATGAATCGCAACTAAGCAACGTCGATTGCGTACATAAGATTTATGCAAATTATTTTGCGTACGCAGCTTGATGAATCTACTCCCCCCCACCCCACCCACAGTAGTGCAAAGCCGTCCGTTGGAACCAGCTGGTGACGTCATGGCCGCCATGTGTAATTTGAGTTCGTCGGGCAGGGTGTGTATTCGAGGGTCCCCGCGTTGAATAGTATTTTGATATATTATATTGTCTGTATGTGAATATTATGGAAGGAAATTCTGTATCATCAAACTCAATTTCAGTGGAACCCATTGAAGGGTTTAAAAAGCAGGTGAGTTGCTATTATGTAAGGATCCAATGTAATTTAGATGCTATATCTTTTGGATAACTGTCATGTCGCCCGTCCATACTGAGGTGTTTTGGAGTGGTGGAGATCCCCACGATCTCTTGAAATCGCGCATGTACATTATGATAATATTTACTAAGGTGGTATTGCATGGATAAAATCTTGAAGGCAATTAGGCCTACTGTTATTTTCTGGCTTCTGTGTATACTATTGGTTCCGCGAGGCCAGACCGTCTAGATATTAAGTATATTCATTGAGTAATTGCGATAAGTTGATGATTTTCGGTCAGCTTGAATCTTGCTGTGTATAGTAGTAGTACGCCGTGTACGGCTCATAGGGTCTATGTCCCCCGGGGTACTGCCGGAACGTACCCTGGTACTATCTAATATGCCGTACCGTACCTCGCCTACTCCACTAACGAGTCTAGGGAGTCGCCTACGCCTACTCCCTAACCCTAACCCTAACCCTAATCCTAACCCTAACCATATCAAATACTGAATAGTGACCAGGGTACGTTCCGGTATACCGGACCGTACCCAGGGTACGTTCCGGCAGTACCCTGGGGGACATAGACCCTATGAGCTATAGTACGTGTACATATGTCACTGTTTCCACTGTTACTGTTGCTCATACTCATACTCATAGGGTCTATGTCCCCCAGGGTATTGCCGGAACGTGCCCTGGGTACGGTCCGGTATACCGGAACGTACCCTGGTCACTATTTGATATGGTTAGTGTTAGGGTTAGGGTTCGGGTGGTTCAAGGATAGAGAACATGGGTCCCAATAAAACCAATGTCATTTACATCAATGTTATTGATTATATTGATTATATTTTTGGTTATGGTTAGGGTTAAGGTCAGGGTGTTAGCCAAGCACATTGGTTTTATTGGGACCCATGTTCTCTATCATTGGGCCGTTAGGGTTAGGGTTAGGGTTTTTGCATCATTCCTTGATATACGGAAAGTCTGTGCATCAGTTGATGATATACAGAAATCTTACTGACTAGTAATTGCACAATAATGTTGAAGACTCATCATTATGATTATGACTCATCATTAATGATTGAGGTAATCTATCAATAATCAAACACTGTAATATTAACTAGAAATGAGCAGTTGTCGCCAACTACATGTATCCCCCGTGATCTAGTATGAATAGAATATCTATGTAAGGACGTAGAAGGCAGGTAAAGTTAAATAAGTCACAAAGACAAAGGTTTGTTAGACAACTGGTGTGCCCGATGTGTATACTTTGGAATCTGGTTACCCTAGAAGGTCCGAAGAGGAAATGTAAACCGTCGACTAGTTTGACCTTCAGGTCAAGGGCAGTGGTGGTTTTGGTATGCGATGCGACAGACCTTTTCCCCAAGATGTGTAAGCAATACCAAGTTTGGTCGCGCTAGGTCAATTAGGGGCTGAGTTAGAGAGCGGAAGGGAAATATGATCAAGGTCAAGGTAAAGGTGAAATAAAGGTCGCAGTGACCTGGTGGGCAGTTTTTACCCGATCTCGGATGATGTTCAAATTTGGCATGAAGGTGCGTTATGGTAAAGCGAAGACGCCAATCGTTTTTGGTGTGGGCGGAGTCATCGTTGCTATGGTAACAACATTTTTGTGGAAATATTGTAGACCCTGTAACTTCTGCTGTTTTTACCCGATTGTCATGGAATTTGGCACACAGGGCCGATATAACATGTCCTATATATATATATATATATATATATTTGAATATAAATTTAAATATAAATTTTAATACAAATATAAATTTCATGACAATCGGGTAAAAAGTGCAGAAGTTACAGGTTCTAGAATATTTCGACAAAAAATGTTACCATGGCAACAATGACTCCGCCCACACCAAAAAAGATTGGCACCTTCATGCGAAATTTGAAGATGATCCGAGAAGAACTGCAGCCGGTAGAGCGTTCACAAGGAAATCTCTGCGGCGGCGGCGGCGCGCCGATGCCAAACCCATAGTATCCCTCGAACGAATACAATTATGCCACTACCAGTGGCCACTGCCAGTGCATGTGGTGGTGATAGTATGGTGTAGTTTTTGCCTGCGTTAATTAGTTACAGGTGGCAGCTCTTTATTTCAGCCTGTAGGCTTGCGTAGGTAAATGGATGAGTGCTTACCTATTCTGTCTTGCAAATAGTTGTTGCTATACTACGTACGATGGAAGCTTCCAGCTTCCATCTTTAATCTTAAGACATTCAAACGTACGCGCCATCTCGTGGCAACTTTCATAACGATCCCAACGAAAATTTCTTCGAGAAGGTTCCTGATACCATCCCAGTGTTCGAAATAAGGGCTATCCGTTTGTCCGTACTTGTCCATTTCCACGGAGGACAAGTAGATCTGTCAGGTAGCTTGTCCGCCGGACAAGCAGCTTTTTAGAGCAATTTTTTATAATTTTCTACCATCGCTCGCGGCTGCTGGGAAACCTGAGTTAACATAGTATAAACATGGGCTGTCGGAGTGCCACCCGAATTATCATATAGTATAAACATTTATGTGAAGTTATATAAAAACGTTACCGCCTTGCTAGCGCCACGAAACGGTCTTGCTAGGGTTAGAAACCCATCAGACAATCAGTCTGATAGACAATCAGACATCTGTATAGACAATCAGCCGTACAGCCTCGTCCGGCAGCGCTACCGCCTCGAGAAAGAGAGAAATTGAGAGTGAGAGAGAGAGAGAGAGCGCGAGAGAGGAAGAGAGAGAGAGAGAGAGAGAGAGAGAGAGAGA